TCTTTATTTTTAATTAAATAAATCTTTATTGTTCAGATTATTGTTTCTGCTTTTCACCCCCATAGCTCCCTTCCACCCAGTTCCCACCCCACCCTCTGCCCTCACCCCCCCCACCATTGTCCTCATTTTACTCTTCAGACCACCCTATAAAACAGACAGTTATCATCCCCATTTCTCAGGTGAGATGCAGGCTCAGAGTGGCTGGTAATTTTCAAGGTCACCTCACTTGTCATGGCAGAGCAAATATTGAACCCAAGTTGGTGTGCTTCCAGAACCTCGTTGGTACTGTTGTAGTTTTTGCAGCAAGGATCATGTTGTGGGATCAAGAGAAATTGAGGAATAAACTGCTCTGGGTCATTCCCACGGGAGCTGGATTTCATAACCGACAAGTCAAAATACTTCAAAAGCGAAAGGCTGGGTTGAAAATATACGTAAGAAATCAGAAGAAGGTGCTTTGCTTTTGGAAGCTGGCTGATTAAGTAATGAACTCTCCTCAGAGCATTTTGGCCTAAGTGGTTCTTATACTTGGCTAACGGGATTTAGTTGGCATCAGGGTCTCTCAATTATTGTATTTATTACTCCCAGTAATGAGGATATGCTTGTTTTAGAAAGACAAAAAAGCTTTTTGTTTTATTTTGTTATATTAAGGTGGTAATGATCAATGAATATTTCAAAAGAAAGTTAATGAAATTTTTTTTTTTTATTGTTGACAGTATTACAGATGCTCCTGAATTCTCCACCCTCTCTTAGCTCCCCTCCTCACAGACCCTGTCCCACTTCAGGCCCGCACCACATTATTGTCTGTGTCCATTGGTAGTGTACTTATGTGTATAAATTCTTTGGTTAATCCCTTCCATTCTCTTCCCCTCCCTCCCCCCAACCCCCACTGAGATATGTCAGCGTGAGCCATTAGATTATGTTCATTAGATTCCACATATAAGAGAGATCATATGATATTTGTTTATCTTTGACTGGCTTATTTCACTCAGCATAATACTTTCCAGCTTTATCCAATGCTGTTGCAAAGGGTAAGAAATCCTTTTTTAAAGCTGCGTAAGTATGGCATTGTGTAAATGTACCACTGCTTTTTTTTTAATATATTTTATTATTTTTCACAGAGAGGAAGAGAGAGGGATAGAGAGCTAAAAACATCGATGAGAGAGAATCATCGATCAGCTGCCTCTTGTACACCCCCCATTGGGGATGTGCCTGCAACCAAGGTACATGCCCTTGCCCGGAATTGAACTTGGGACCTTTCAGTCCGCAGGCGGACCAATATCCACTGAGCCAAACCGGTCCGGCTACCACCGCTTTTTTATCCATTCATCCACTGATGGGCACTTGGGCTGTTTCAAAATCTTAGCTATATAAATAACTCTGCTACCGTATTTCCCCCAAAATACTACAGTCTCCGAAAATAAGACCTAGCGCATGGAAAGATAAGATATCCCTGAAAATAAGACCTAGCGCAACTTTGGGAGAAAAAATTAATATAAGACACTGTCTTATTTTCGGGGAAACAGGGTATGAACATAAGGGTGCATGTATTCTTTCTGATTGGTATTTCAGGTTTCTAAGGATATACTCTATTCCCATAAGTGGGATAGCTGGGTCAAACAGCATTTTCATTTTAAATTTTTTGAGGAAACCCCATACTGTTTTCCATAGTGCCTGAACTAGTCTGCATTCCCAGCAGCAGTGCACGAGGGTTCCCTTTTCTCCACATCCTCACCATCCCTTGTTGTTTGTTGATTTATTGATAGTAGCCATTCTGACAGATGTGAGGTATTATCTCATTGTGGTTTTAATTTGCATTTCTGTGATGATTAGTGACATTGAGCATTTTTTCAAATGTCATTGGCCATCTGTATGTTCACTTTGGAGAAATGTCTATGAGGTCCTTTGCCCATTTTTTTATATATATATTTTATTGATTTTTAACAGAGAGAAAGGGAGAGAGATAAAGAGCTAGAAACATCGATGAGAGAGAAACATCGACCAGCTGCCTCTTGCACAACCCCTACTGGGGATGTGCCTGCAACCAAGGTACATGCCCTTGACCGGAATCGAACCTGGGACCTTTCAGTCCGCAGACCGACGCTCTACCACTGAGCCAAACCGGCTTTGGACTTTGCCCTTTGCCCATTTTTTAATTAGATTGTCTTCCTTTTGTTGAGTTGTATGTGTTCTTTATATACATTGAAAATTAACCCCTTATCAGATGTATCCTTGGAAAATACGTTTTCCCATTCAGTGGGTTCTCTTTGTATTTTGTTGTTGGAAACTTTTATTGTGCAGAAGCTTTTTATTTTGATGTAGTCTTATTTATTTTTTCATTTGTTTCTCTTGCCCTAGGAGATGGATTAGTAAAAATTCTGCTACATGACTTGTCTGAGATTTTACTTCCTTTGTTTTCTTCTAGGATTTGTATGGTTTTGTGTCTGACATTTAACTCTTTTGCCCATTTTGAGTTAACTCTTGTGTATGGTGTAAGTTGATGGCCTGGTTAATGAATTTTTCAATCAAAATTTATTGTAGGCTTTGCAAATGTTGATAGGCACAATGTTTTCTCTCCTCCTGTTCCTAGACACACGCCTGGAGATCATAAATGAGGACACTTCTTACACTTCTTCCCTTCATATTTCCCTCTGTTACAAACCCATGAACTCAATGTGTTGACAATAGCAGTCTGGCAAGAGCCAGTATCTGTCTACCAGCTTGGGAAAGAAAGGAAGGCCTGTTAGGACCAAGACAGTCACTTCTCTATTGCACTATATGTGGTTTCTGTGAACTAATTAAAGACATTCATTTCAAAAATCCTTTATGTCTCCTATTCTGGGCAAATATAATCTGCTATTATCAATATCACTTATGTGAAAATCAAATATTGTATAATAATGTGGTTAATTGGGATCAGATATCCAAGCTGAAAAGTTCAGTCACTCTTGAAGGAAGCCCTGACTAGGAATTGAACAATGACCTTCTGGCTCATAGGTCAACCCTCAACCACTGAGCTATGCCAGTCGCACCTCTCTCATTGATGTTTCTATCTCTCTATCCCTTCTCCTTTCCTCTCTGATATCAGTAAAAATATATAATTAAAAAACACACAAATATTTTTAAAGAGTAAATTCTGATGTCAATAACAAAGTATGTTTTGGGGAAATAAAAGTGTTGAATTTCTGTGTGTAATTGAAAAGTTGTTTTTAGTTTAAAATAGACTAACTTGCTGGGTGACTTGGACAAATTTTCTATTGCTTCATCAGTAAAATGCAGTGAGATAAGAGGTAACTGGAAACACTTTTATATAAACCTATATATCTATGGTCAATTGGTTTTTTTAATTAATTTTAAAACATGATAGATTTTATTTTTTAGAACAGAATAAATAATAGATACTTCCAAGGTTATTGTGAGGATTAAGTAAAGTGATAAATGCAAAGTATTTAGGATGTAAATGCTCAAATACATTTTAGTTCTTCAAAACATTTACCACTGCCATACAACAGCCATTCATTATTTTGGACCTAATATTAGTCAGTGTTTAAATACCATTAAGACAGTGACTATATGTATATCTTCAATTCATATTCCTCAGGGTGCTTAGACAGTCACCCATGTTAGATCCACAATTAATTTGGTTAAGTACATTAATCAAAAAGTATTTTCACCTTGGATGTGGGAGGATTTCTAAAACAAAATGGAAAAGTGGTGATTACAAGAGAAAAGATGAACTGTATTATAATTAAGAGCTTTTATTTTTCAAAAGATATCACAAGAGTCAAAGATGATCCACAAATTGAATACAATATGTACAGTAAACATAACTAAAAATAAATTAGTATTCAGGATTTATTAAAAAGAAAATAATTTCTATTTATTAATTAGAAAATAATTCCTAATTAATAAATAGAAGACAAATAATCCAGTAGAGCCCTAACCGGTTTGACTCAAGGGTCCCAGGTTCGATTCCGGTAAAGGGCATGTACGTTAGGCACATCCCCAGCAGGAAGTGTGCAGGAGGCAGCTGATCGATGATTCTCTCTTATCGATGTTTCTAACTCTCTATCCCTCTCCCTTCCTCTCTGTAAAAAATCAATAAAATGTATTTTATTTTATTTTTTTAATATATTTTATTGATTTTTTACAGAGAGGAAGAGAGAGGGATAGAGAGCTAGAAACGTCAATGGGAGAGAAACATCGACCAGCTGCCTCTTGCATACCCCTACCGGGGATGTGCATGCAACCAATGTACATGCCCTTGACCGGAATCGAACCTGGGACCTTTCAGTCAGCAGGCCGATGCTCTATCCACTGAGCCAAACCAGTTTCGGCAATAAAATATATTTTTTAAAAATAATCCAGTAGAAAAAGTGGGCAAAAATCATGAAGAGGCAATTCACAAAAGAAAAAACACAAAAAAAATTCCAAGAAACACTAGGTACTCACCCTCATAGTCATCAGGAATAAACAAAGCAAAATTACAATGAAATAGTATCGTATACCCATTATATGGGCAACATTTTTAAACCTAAAAATATAAAGGTAAAGTAAAAATATGGAATAATGGAAATGCAAATGTCCATGTGAGCAATAACTGAGTAACTACTTTAAAAAACAACTTGGTACCTGTGTGCTGACAACAGGGATGGATGTAGCTATGGCCTCTGGGAAGGCAAGAGGATGGGGCTGGAAAGGAGCACATGGAGAATTCCACTTGTCTTGTCATTCATTCTATGGCTCAAGTTGTATGATGAGTTCATGGGAGTTGATTACTCTTTAAAATTTATGTCATTGAATAAATTGTTTTGAAGATAGTATTAAATATTATACAATGAAATCTTTTGAAAATGAAAAGTTTGATGAATACAGTAGAGGCTTTGCATTTTATTTATTATAATTCACAATAAGATGAATTACAAAAATTCATTATAGATGTAGCTCACATGGCAGGTTAGTAAAGAAAACACGTTATTTTCTTTTGCTTCATCTTGTCTCACCATTCCTCAAAGGAGTTGGAGATGCTTTCGTATGCCAGAAAGGTAAAGAAGGGTTTATAGACGTTATTTTTTCATCCTGACATAACTGTTTGCAGTTGAGCTTTGTATTAGTTCTTTCCAAAAGTTTTGAAAACAAATTAAACAGAAGAGCAATCCAAGCAAGACCAAAGGCATACCAAGGTACCAAAAATACTGTGTACAATGGTGAGTACGTCTCAGCAGTTTTTATACCTAAAAACAAAAAGTAAATCACATATAAATCACTGGAGGATGATTTTGCTTCTGATATTCTTTTGACCCTCATAAAATATACCAAATTAGTATAAACCCATAAAAATGTCTACATTTGGAATCTAATCACTGATTATTGAAAACCAATTAGAAATTAAGAAGTGGTACTTCTGAAATGAATACCATATTCAATGAGAGTATGGGATTATAGTTATAAATTTTAGATTACATTGAACTTTTTGGTAATAAATTTTGATAATATTTTTGGTAATATGTCTATTATATAAAGAGAAAAAAACTCTATGAATTATTTGAACGGTATTTGTGTAAACATTCCAATCTGACTGAATATCTCACAGAATAGATAGGTGCCTAGATGTGCCATAAACCTTTAGGACATATTAATATGATTTTTTTTTCCTTTCCTTGCTGTGAAGGATTTAAAAAAACAAACAAAAATAACCTATCAAACTTTTTTTTTTAACTCAAATTTTGTTTAAAAATGATGTGGCCATCCATGAATGTTTATTCCTACTCTACCACTGGTTTGTTCTGTATGGCTACAAACATGCAATATTTTTTCCCAACTTTTTATTGTAAAAAACCATTTGAAGTAATAATAAGAAGCACAAAGAAAAATGTCCATAATTCCAACAATCATCTCACACTATTTTAAGACTCAATAACACTAGTTCCAGTCCCACAATCTTTATGTTATTTATTTTGCCTCAAATATCCTTAAAACTAATATTGTATATCAAAATGTAAATAATTACATGAACTTTGGTCACATTCTGGCATTTGCTCATAAAGAAAAATTGGCCTTAAAAAAAAAAAAAACACACAGGGTAAACTAATGGCTACTCCACAAAAGAACACATTTTTAACTGCATTTAACCTCATATTAGAACAAGGGGAAGGAGAATGTAAATCAGTGACATTAACTAGAAAACAACGTTATGAAAGACAGATGATTTTATTGATTGAGATCAATGTGGAAAAGGTTTCATTTGTTTTCTAGCTTCAAATGGCATATTAATTAGAGTCCCTTATCTAGCACCCTTTAAATTTCTAATAAAACAACTATGAAGTCCCAATTTCAGTTAGAAAATAAGGAAAATAGGCCGGGTTTTCTATTCTACAGTAAAAACAAAAAAAGAGGGAACAGACAAAACCAAAATCTTATTTCTCAATGGTGTTAGCAAAAAAACAGTGAATGCAAGAAATTCAATGAGCTAAATTCTAGAGAGAAAATAGTTCTTCACAAATGAGCTGAGAGCAGTGAAGAACTTCCATACCAATCCTGGGCTTGTATGGGCACAGCAAACCAAGCAGAGGTGCTAGAGAAGGTGAAAATTTACAAAGACAAAATAAAATTTGCCCCTCCTTAAAAGCCAGCTGGGCTCACAGAATGAATTGGAATCTAATAATGCTAACCACCCCAAAAGGATTGTTCAGCCAAATAATTCTCCCCACACCACCACACCAAATTTGCCAACATTTTGCCACTGGAGGAGGGCTGGCCCATGTCATTCTTCAGTGTGACTGCTTTTATTCCCACACAATACCATATGTACCACATAGTCCACAGACTTTTTTTAGTGCTATTTTTCTAAATAAAGGGACTCATAGAGATCATTCTATTTTTGTGACCTAGGAATCAATCAATAAATACCCAGATATTCATACATGAGAATGTAATCAGAAATTAGTAAACATTGGTGCTAAAAGGGGTACTATAAGTATTTCTCCTGGACTATCAGTTATTTTTCACTCTCGGTCTGCTAAGTTGAAGACTCACCTTCAATCATACCTAAAGTGCCTGGTAAGGCTTAATAGATCCTCATGGTCAAGAACATTTTCATTTTCCTAGTTGCCATCATAGCACTATGTATTTAACTCAACTGTGGCTTGTTTCCTCCATTTGTAATGGCCTTTTTCTATGTCTAAATCTTGCCCACATCAATGTGTGGCCCTTAAAGGCAGGAGCCAAGTTTCAGTCCTGGTTGACTTTGAAGCACGCATCACCTAAGACTCATATGGCAAGAAACGCTCAGGAAGAACTGATTCCTAGATTTGTTGACTGATTATTGACAACCAAAAAATCAACTAGTTTAAGGTTTCCCTCACCTCAGCTACTTAATATTAGATCCAATTGAGTCCTATTGGTCAAGTAGCTTGTCCAAGTTGTCCCAGATAGATTGTGGTAGAAGAGACATCTAATGTTCAGCTCCTTGGCTCTGTGCTTATTGTGGTAGCATACTGATTGTTCTATGTAGGTATGAGCCCTGGGCATGTATGCATAATGAGGTATTATTCCTATGTTCTTTGGGCTAATTTTTAAAAAGTATGTTAATAGTAAGAATGATGCCTACTAAGATGATAGTAATTTGAGGCAGAGATGAATCAAGAAAAATAGAAAGGTTTCTCAAAATATATAGCCTAAAATTTGTTTAGTTCCTTTAAGGAATTTATAAGCCCCAAAAGGCCTTGTAGAAATAAGCCTTTATACAAGAGACTGTGGGATATTTTATGTTGAATTTTAGGTTAAGTACATTAATACTTAAGGTCTGGGGATCTTTATTATCTCCTTATTCAGTGTATTTATGTGAAGGTGAGAGTGGACTTATCTACTGGTAAAGACACTGAGCATGTGTTGCATGGAATTCAACCTCTGTACCTACTGTTTTCGTTACACATGAACTTTGAATATCTATATGAGCAAATGGTGACATGCTTTGAGAAATTTCTCTGTTTGATTTTCCCATAATTAGTATATTCTGTGGCCTGTTCAAGAAAGGTGGATGGAAAGGAATTATTTTGGAATCTTTCATGGATTCTCAGGTGACTAGAATTTCTCAATTGTTTTGGCTTCTACTCTAACTCTGATAGATAAATGCTATATTTCTGATTATACTTTTACTTCATATCCTGTTGATTTGTGATTATGAGTGCTAATACAATTCTAAGATGAATATCTGTTGACTTACCAGGTATATAGTCACCAAACCCAATGGTACTTAAGGAGATAAATGCAAAATACAATCCTTCATTGTATGACCAGCCCTCCATATACTTGAAAACTATTGGTGGTATCAGGATGAAAATGATAACTCCAGTTACCGAGAAAAAGGTGAATATGCAAATTTTAATTTGTCTCTAACAAAAAGAAAAAAAGAAAGAAGGAAGGAGGGGAGGGAGGGAAAGAGAGAAGGAAAGAAAATATTAATAATCCAACAGCAGTCAGAAAGCTATGATCCACTAAACCACCATTTGCCCTTTACAGATTCCTTTGTGATCAAGGGCTTGCTGGGATATCCATTCCACCCTCTGACTTGCAGACTTCATTTGCATCTGGGAGTATTTCCCAGCTCTGTCAAACGAATCATTTCCCTTATGAATCTCTGTTGCTTAGCTGTTACTCCACGCATTTTGTTGCAGTTTCACATTTATTGAGTGTAGAGCAATTTCTCCCTTCCTGCCCTCCCTCACACTACAAATGTTCTTTTGCTTTGTGACCTGCTCACTCACACCTTCAGCTCTGGGTGTCGCTGATTGTGCAAAAAGGACAATCACCACCTGAGAGTTCAGGATATTAACTTTTTGAGACAAATAAACAAATAATATTTTATTAAGAGACATTCTAACACCTCAAGTTCTAAGAGAAAAATTAATCTATTTTCCCATCTAAAACCTGGATGTTCCATTTCCAATTCTATATTATATTGGTTGATTAAATGCTTTTTATGAAATAATTCAACTTCATTCAACAAGTACTTGTTGAGTTTTACCACTAATACCATGAAAGATACTCAATATACATATAAAAATATGTCAGTCTGTCCACGTAGAGATTATATTTTTGTCAGGGGAGAGGAAGAGAAAAAGATAAGTAAATTAATTAAAATAATCAGTTTTAAACTTTCATTTATAGAGTCCTTCATATAGCATAGACACTATGCTAAGGGCTATACCTACTTTCTATATACATATAGTAAGGGGACATATTATAACTATTTCCGTAAACTTTAGTGCTTATTACAATGATTGCATTGGATTGTGGGGATTGCAGTGCTTTCTAAATTTGGAGGGATATGAAGTTGATGCTATGAAATTCTTATGTCTTATTTCTCTAGAAATTTGGAACTATGGATTCATTATTGACTTTGGAAGTGTGCCAAATTATATAACATACCTGGAGCAGAATAAAGCATAATTAGAGTAACATGAAAGAAATAAATAGCTGACTTTTAGTATACATTGTGGACTGTTAAGGAGTTTTGGAAACAAGAGGAGATTTATATTACAAATTTCATTTTCTGTGAGAAGCACTGCTAATAGCTGCTTTAGTTTAACTTTGTATGGTGGTGGCAAACTCAGAGCATTCTGTATCACTGATAAGAGTTTTATTTGGGTCATGCTATTATCTGGTGCACTTGAGTGACCCTGTCTGGCCAGTTTGTTTAGTCATATTTATAAGCATGAAATAAGATACAAGCTTGGCCTCTTGTAGACTTTGAAAGGCAGCATCCAAAATATCTTGAGTTTCTGAAGCAGCCAAATCTTTGATACCAGACATAATTAGAGGAGTGGATAACATGGCCTCGGGAAAGACAAATGGGCAAAATCTTTTTGGATGCTATCTGATTTTTTCCCTTGAAGGAAAACACACACACACACACACACACACACACACACACACACACACACTTGTCTAGTTGAACTATTTCACAGAGGATTTTAGTTTCCAAAGAATGCTAACATCTCTTTCTACCCCTCCTAGAATCCACTCCTAAAAGAGACTTACTGGTATGAATGGGTCAAGTACAAGAGCATTCACTGACCACCACTATGAGAGGAGTGGACAGATAACCTCCCAGGAGTTTCTTTCTCTGGACTCCACTCCTTTGAGAATGAGGAAGTAACATCAGCCAGGACCTGCCCTTACTCAGCACTGCTCTTTCCTGAGGCCTGTTTAGAGATCAAATTGGCCTTTTAATTATCACTCTTAAATCAGTGGGTGAGAGTTCAGAGAGGAAGGGAAAGGGACATCTGGCCTCAGTCTTCTACTCAAAATGGATTAGTTAGGTATAAGGAATAATTGCTAAAGTGCATACTAGTTCACAAGAAAACCTGATACAAATCTTCCTGGCAATAAAAACAATGAGTTGCCTGTCCCTGTCCTCTCTGCATATCTCTTTCTGGACTATCAGGAATGGACTATCCATCCATGTCATCTCTCTTTATCTCACTTTGTCCCAACTCAACACAAATTTGTCTAACAGTTTTCCAAACAGCCTTTTCTAATTGCATGCTTTTGTAATCTATAGCTGTAAAAAATGTCTCGCCTTTTGCAGTGTTGAGAAAGGAATTGTGAGATAAAAGGAGATCAGAATCCAGGATCAAGTTGATAACTTCCTCTAAAAAATCTAGATGTTTGGTTTTATATACTTACTTCATAGGGTGGTTCAGAAAGTCAAACAAAATCATTAAACTGCCTTTGTACTATGATACTCTACCAGTATTAGTTCAAATAATATTCCTATTTCCTAAAGAAGAAAAATAAAGCAGTAAAGATATTTTGAGTTGAATATCCTTTTTTTAATCAAGAATTCCATAAAAAGGGGCAAACATATCAAATATATACATTAATTTATTTATTTATATATATGTGTCTATACTTATATACGTAAACATATATGTATATAGAGAGAGTCTTTTTAGCATGTAATTAACAAAAAATATAAACTCTTGTGTATTTATTCTATGTAAGGTTATAAACTCAAGCATGTGTAAAAAAATTATTTAGTAAATATTACCTCTGTCAGTCCCTTATTCCGAAGGTATGTACCAAGTCCTGAAAATGGTTGTGATATTGTCTTACCCAAAAACTTTAGGAATATAAGTGTTAGAGGAATCCCCAATAAACCATAGAAGACACAGAACATCTGGCCCATAGGAGTTCTGGGAGCAATTATCCCATAACCTGATGGATGATAAGAGACAATTTAATATCTGCTCAATATTACTACTCCTTGGAACATGCACTTTTGATGTATTTTTGTTGTTGATGTTTTGTTATGAGAGTCTCAACCACAAACACAGTTTTTAAGAGAAAACATATAATCCAATCATTTTATATCCAAGAATTTCTCCTAAGAAAATGATCTAGAAAAGTGGGAAGTAAGATGATCACTAAAGCAGTATTTGAGTAAAAAATTGGACATAAACAGTTCTAAGCATTAGAAAGGATATGCTGAGTAAAATGGCCCAATAAAATACTTTGCAATCTCCAAGGAGTGCAAGTATATTCAATGATATGAAAAATTTATTATATATTTCTGAGTAAAAATATATTTTTGTGGATTTCACTATAACCATGTATGACACATATTTATGGGATAAAGAAAAGAAAAATAAGAAATTTGCTACTTTGTTTACAAACTTGAATAAGCCAATCCCTGTTACTGAATCGAATTTTAATTTACATGTCAATATTTGCTGTCTTACGTATAGCACAAAATTTAACAAAATCTTATTTCTCTAAATTATGGATTTGGGGTTGCTTTTATGAAAAATGTTCTATATACACACATAATTGCTGATCTAAACAATTTTGATCCTTTTATGCTTACAGATCTTAAATTCAATTTTTATTTTCATTGACATAAAAAGGAGAATAAGAATACTTATTGCACACACACACAGGAAGAAGCTATACCAAAGTTTCACAGTTTTTCATGGAGTTTACACAAAAGCTCCCTTGGCTGCCTGTGGTAATATTTTAAACAGTCTGGCAATGTCAAAGCTATTACAAGTGAGAAGTTTATGCCTGTTTTAAGTCATGCCTGAAGACAAATAAATTCATAGTTTGCCTTGACCCACATTTGTTTAAAATAATTTGTTTTAAGAATAAAGGCCTAGCTGGTTTAGCTCAGTGGATAAAATGTTGGCCTGCTGACTGAAGGGTCCCAGGTTCGATTCCAGTCAAGGGCACATGCCTGAGTTGCAGTCTCAATCCCCAGGAGGGGGCACACAGGAGGCAGCCAATCAATGATTCTCTATCATCAGTGATGCTTCTATTTCTCTCTCCTCTCCCTTCTTCTCTGAAATCAATATATTGATTTTTTTTTAAACAAAGAATAAAGGTAAGAGATCCAAGATGAGGATGGAGTAGGTGGAAGCTATACTCACCTCTTAAAGAGCCAATAAACAAATTTTGTTTGCAGCAACTCACCCTAGGCTCTGGTGGAGGAGGTGGAAAAGGCTAGAGACATGTGAGGAGTGTCTGGGGTTTGTGGCTCTGGGGATAGAGCTGAGGGGACATCTGCCAGGATCCCTATGCTTAGTCATTCTCCCAAACTGCAGATGCCATCTTTCTTAGGTGGAGCACTCCCCTCTGTGTGGCTTCAGTTTGGTGGGAGGCAATAACCCCATCCTTGGGAATCCCTCTTGCCCCACCCTGTGTAGCTTATGCCCTGCTGAGGATATAGCCAGAGGCTCTTTTAGTGACTGAGTCTAACTGGCAGCTGGCAGAAAGGATAGGCAGAGGCAGATCTTGGGGTGCCTTAGAAATATTGTTGACCTGCTCCTGGGCTCTGCTTACAAAAGCAAACTTCGTGTGCAGCTTGGTCCTCCCAGTACATATGCAGGCCATTCTGAGGCAGCACAAACTGTTGATTGCTTAGAGCTCCAAAAAGGTTGCCCAGAGCCAAGTCACAGGCAGTGTCTGACATTGGTCTACATAAGAGTCCCTCACAAGAGGCCCAGAACCAACACAACCAGTGGCCAGCTTCAGAAAACAAAATGATATATCTTATAAGGGTTACTATCCAAATTTATAAATAACTTACAAAACTCAAAACTAAAAAAAACAAACAAAACACACACACACACACACACACACACACACACACACACACAAACAAACTTCTACTTTAAAAATAGGTAAAGGACCTGAATAGACACTTCTCCAAAGAGGACATACAGAATGGCCTAACAGACATTTGTAAAGATTCTCAACATCACTAATAATCAGGGAAATACTCATTAAAACCACAATGAGATATTGCCTCATATCTGTCAGAATGGTTATCATCAATAAACAATAGGTGTTTGCAAGGATGTGGAGAAAAGGGAACTCTTGTGCACTATTGGTGGGAATGCAGACTGGTGCACCCATTGTGGAAAGCAGTATAGAGTTATCTCAAATAATTAAAAATGGAACTTCCTTATGACCCAGGGATCCTACTTCTGGGAATGTATGCAAGAAACCCAAAACACTAATTCAAAATAATATATGCACTCCTATGTTCACTGCAGTATTATTTACAATAGCCAAGATTTGGAAACAGGCCAAGTAAATAAGTGGATAAAAAAAAAAAAAAAAAGCTGTGATATATTTACACAATGGAATACTACTCAGCAGTTAAAAAGAAGGAAATCTTACCCTTTGGGACAACATGGATGGACCTAGAGAACATTATGTTAAGTGAAATAAAGCCAGTCAGAGAAAAACAAGTACCATATGATCTCACTCTTATTTGGAACCTAATGAGCAACATGAGTTAACAAGCAAAATAGTAACAGACTCAGAGATAGAGAGCAGGCTGATAGCTGTCAGAGGTGGGAGGCTGGATGGGGCAGTGGAGGGACTGAGCAAAAAAGAAAGAAACTCATGGACATGGACAACAGGGTGGTGATTACTGGGGGGAGGTTGGGTAGGTAGAGGTGGAGGAGGGTAAAGGAGTATAAATGGTAATAGGCAGAGGCTTGACGTGAGGTAGCAAACACACAATACAATATACAGGTGATGTGTTCTAGAATTGTGCATCTGTGTAATTTTGTCAACTAGTGTCACCCCAATAAATTCAATAAAAAGGAAAAAAAATAAAGGAAAAAAGTAGGCTTATTGAATCTTTTCAGAACTGCAAAGTAGGACTGCCTTCATTCTTCAGGCAAGCTGGTACACTGATTCTGTCTCAACATAAAAATACCAGAGCATCAAAATGATAGAGAATGGTCAAATATTTTCAACCCCCTTCATTCCTTGTTGAACAGAGCCATTGAATGCGGTGAGCTGCCTGAAGCGAAGAGGCTTCATCTTATGTGGCCCAGAGCTGGAGTGGCTCACTGGGTTTAGGGATTCAATGACAGAATGCATGCCCACCATTCAACTGGGCCTCTGTAAGCAGGCCATGCCTCAAGATTAAGAGCGTTGTTCAGACCCCTGATGTTATTCCATGGGCAGAAACTATGGGTCATGTGATATCCAATGCCAGCTCTTTGACCTCATTCAACCCCTGAAATTCAAGATTCTCCCAATTCTTTTATTGAACTATAATAAGCAAGTAAAAAGGGTTTCTGAACAAATAGAACCATTTTGCTGGGAGTTGGAAGGTGTGTAACACTCTCCAAAACTGGGTATGCATCCTATTTTCAGTAAGGGGAAATAGATTTGAGCATGCCATCCTTGAGAATAACAGTCATCACTTATTAACCTGTTCCCACAAAAAGGAAAATTCTATAGTAGTGCCAAAGGTCTCTGGTAGTCTGAAGATGCCAGGGATCTCCTGAGAATCTTTGGTATAGCTATCTTAAGCTATGCTTATTTCTTATAAATCCTAATGGCTCTTAGTTAATAATAAAACATCTTAGAATTATCTCAAGTTTAGCAGGAACCTGTGGTTTTTAAATCACATAATCCTCTAGCTACATTTCCCAGAATTTAAGAGAAATAAGTAGGCATCATCATTCTATCAAAAGTCCTAGAAAAATCTGACTGGTTCTGGGGTTTGCTACATATTTCACCAATATGTTGGAAGACTAGATGGAAATTCCGTTGCCAAGATCACCCACTAAAGAGAAAAGGCTCATAGACTTTGTTGTCAAATAGAAAAATGACTTAAAAATACAAAATAGAGGGGAGGCTACATGTATTGATGAAACATCACCTTAAAAACAAAAGCAGGGAGTGCCGAAACCAGTTTGGCTCAGTGGTAGAGCGTCGGTCTGCGGACTGAAAGGTCCCAGGTTCGATTCGGTCAGGGGCATGTATGTTGATTGCAGGCACATCCCCTGCAAGAGGCAGCTGGTCGATGTTCCTCTCTCATCGATGTCTCTAGCTCTCTATCTCTCTCCCTTCCTCTCTATAAAAAATCAATAAAATAAATAAAAATAATAATAATAAAGCAGGGAGAAGCCAACTGGAGTTTGAGTGGTCCTGTTGGGTTTGGAAGGTTCTTCAATCAGTACGTCAACCAACACAGATGTTTCTCTTTCTTCATGTGATGAAGGTTGGGGATCTAAATTTCCCATGGAAAACTAAAGAGGCACCATTTGTCCCTATTGGAATGGTGCCATCACTGCCTATGGATCATATAAACTGAAGACCAGGGGAAATACTAAAATGTCCCTTCAGGGGGGTGGGATAGCAATGGGGAGATAGGGACACATATGTAATACCTTAATCAATAAAGCGGGGGCGGGGGAAGACCTAAGTAAGTGGAAGAATAAACTACGTTTCTAGATTTAGAAAAATAAAATGTCCCTTCACCTAATCCACAAAGCCCAAGGTTTTATTGTGGTAGCAATGACTCTTGGCTTGGGATATTCCATGTATAAGGAATTCTGGGCAAAATCTAAACCATAGAAGAGATGTTGTCTTGGTTGTTTTTGCTATAGTTAGACATCTCATATTGAGGTTATATGTTTATGTTGAAAATAAATCATTTGAATATTGGCTTCCTTTTTTGCAGGCTTGATTTGCCAGGTGACTAAATTACTAGTGACTAGTTCACTAGCTAGGTCATTCAGGGTGTCAGGTTAGCACCTAAGAAACATATCACTTTTAAATGCACTTGAGAGTGGTAAAATGTCCACCTTGTTAAACTCTTCTGGTGAAATTAGTTCTAAGCAAGAAAAACGTGCCGATCCTGAACTACTCCCAGTTGCTGCAGAATCTCACGTGCTTTTGATGTTATATAGGAATCCTGTTTGCCCCAGTTACTTGGACTTTTTTCTGTCTGCTTTGTGGACTGAATGAGGACTTCAGTTTTAGGGGCTGGTTGGCTCTTAAAGAACCTTTCAGAACAGTGCATGGCATATAATGTTACAAACCTCCCCACAATTGAACATGTGTGTGTGTTTAAACCAAACTTAACATGCTCACAGCTGCTAGAAGGTAGAATTTATTTTAGAGACACACTTGTAAACATAAGATAATTATGGGTCCCAGTTTAGCTCTTTTCTAATTGCAGAATTATATTTTTGCTGCTGTTATATTAGAATAATTTTTAAATGTCACCTTGAAATAGATATTTGTATTTTAAGTGCTAACACAAAGGTAATGAAAAACAGTTTTTAAATATGTGCAGTATGTTCATTTTCTCTTTAAGAATCATAAATGTTAAACTAAACAAATTAATGGAAGTGATAAATGACTCAAGAGCAAGCTCTGGAAAGACATTCTACAAGAACTTTGGTGTACTACAGAAGGCTTTATTGCACTTGTGAAATTCTAACCTGAATTACATTCCATGGTGATAACATGGTACATGTAGTGTTATTAAAATAAGTGAACACACACACACACACACACACACACACACAGCAGGTTCTGAATTTAGAGGTTGAAGGGGTATGGTTCATGTAGAGAAAGTCATTGCTGTGATAAAAAATTTTATAATTGGCATCCTAAATTTAAAAAAATATTAAACTGAACATAAAGTACCTTACTTACCTATTGTGCTTAGTGTTGATGCCACAAATCCAAAAGAGTTTTTTAAGTCCCAACTAACATAAATCGTTCCATTTACTATGGGGAAAACTCCATATTTTACAGCAAAAATCAGCTTCTAAGTTAAAACAAAACAAAAAGAAGTAAGCATTATTTTGATAAATGTATGATCTTTCTCTTAAAGAATATAGAACACAAATCCACCTTTGTGGAATTTAGATTCTGACAGAGGGAAATAAACATAAACATATATAAATATGTTATGAGGCACTAAGAGATCAAGCAGAGTTTGGGGTGGGGGGGAGGGTTAGACTGAGAAAACCTCACTGAGAAGACAAGACTTGAACAAGGACATGAAGGCAGTGAGAAAGTTTGCCAAACAAGTATTTGAGGAGAGAGCATTCCAAGCAGAAACAACAACATTGAAGTGAAGAGCCTTAAGGCAAGAGCCTGGAATATTCTAGAAATATCCAGCAGTATGAGTATGAGCAGAACAAAGATGAGGGCAGCGTAAGGGAAGAAGTAAGAGAGGAAATAGAGAAGGAGCACAAGATCATGGAAGCTCGAAGAACTATAGCTTTTAATCTGAATGAAGTGGGGCGAGTCACCAAGAGTTTTTGAACAAAGAAGGTGACTTACACCCTTAAAAGACTACGAAAGGATCCTTTTGGCTGCTGTGTTTAAAAGAGAATATAGGGTGTCCCAAAAAAATGTATACACACTTTAACAGCTGATAGCTCAAGTTTAAAAATGAAATGTGTTTTAATGAACACTGACTCTTATCAATGTTCAAAATGTGTGTGTGTACATTTTTGGGACACTATATAGTGCGCAAAGTGAAGCCAGGAGTTCTGTTAGGAGAATACTGCAAAACTCCAGAAGCTCCAGAAAAGACCAGATGGTGACTCAATGAGACCAGGTAGAGCAGTGACAGTGAGATTCTGTGGTTTTGAAGCGCAGCTAGTGAGAGTCCCTGGGAGGTTAAAGGTGAGTCCAAGAGAAAGAGCATAGTCAAGACTTTTTTTTTCCTGAGCAACTTAAAGAATGGAGTTGTCCTAGCTGGTTTTGCTCAGTGGATAGAGCATCCGACTGCGGACCAATTGGTCCTGGGTTCCATCCCAGTCACGGGTACACACCTTGATTTCAGGCTCCTCCCTGGACCCGGCCCTGGTCGGGGCTAGTGCAGGAGGCAACCAATCTAGTATTTCTCTCACATCGATGTTTCTCTCTGTTTTTTCCTCTCTCTTCTACTCTCCCTAAAAACCAAAGAAAAATATCCTCGGCTGATGATTAGCAAACAGACAGACAGACAAACAAACAGAAAGGATGGAGTGGCCATTAACTGAAGTAAGAAAGGCTGTTGTGCTTAGGGGTAGGAGCAAATTTTCCTTTCGAAGCAAAAGAGCCAGTGTTCATTTTTAGAAATTATGAGTCTGAATATTTTGTTAAATATCTCAGTGGAGATTTCCATTAGCAATCTGTAATGTCTGGGAAAGGCCTCGGCTGGATATAAAAATTTGGGAGTTATTGGTATGTACTTAGTTCTTAAGGCCATGCGCAAGATAGAAGAACTACAAAGGAAGTGAGTAAAAATAGAAAAGGAAAAAAAATTGAGGACTGAGCCCAGGAACCCCTTAAAGTTGAGAAGAATGGAACCAGCAAAGGCAAGAAGAAGGGACAACTGTTAAAATAGAAGGAAAATCAGAATTACAGTGTGGTGTCGTAGAAACCATGTGAAGAAAGTATATCAAGAAGGAAAGAGTGATCAACTGTGGCAAACAAACAAACAAACAAACAAACAAAAAAGACCTGTACATTCTATAAGCTGAGAGCAGATTGTGAACAGATTTTAAATACGCCCTGTTATTTAGTGAGTGTGTGCAGGTTGCGGATGGAAATGGTAGACACCATAGTCATTTGTTAATTGTTAATAGTGTACAGAGAATGGCATAGACCACATTAGGGCTACCTGTGATTTGATTTAAAGCAGTAGAATAGGCTCCTTTACTTTTTTTTTTTTTTTTTTTTTTTGCCTGCTAACCTAAAACTCCATTAAAATAACACTAAAGGATACAAAACAAAATAGTAAAACATATATTGAAAAGCAGGAATCATAGGTAAATCTGAATTGTGAAGAATTTCTAAAAGAAATGAAACTGATTGCTAAAGAAACAGACAAAAGCCTCAAACTCAAAAGAAAAATAGGGTTAAGTTGCTATGGGGGTGAATACTGCTTTTCACATAACTCCCAAAGGTGCCTCAAGGTCAGACTCATTTAATTTATATATATATATGAAAAGAAAGAGAGAAAGAAAGGAAGAAAGAAAGAGAGAGAGAGAGAGAGAGAGAGAGAGAGAGAGAGAGAGAGAGAGAGAAAGAAAGAAAGAAAGAAAGAAAGAAAGAAAGAAAGAAAGAAAGAAAGAAAGAAAAAGAAAGAGAGAGGAAGGCAAGCAGGAAGGAAGGCAGAGAAGGAGGGAGGGAAAGAAGGAAGGAGTTTTGTTTCCTATGTTCTCTAGGACTCACATAACTCTGAGAGCAAAACCAGAAAAATAAATAGCATAAAATGGTGATTGTACACTGAATAAATTAAAAACCACTGAGTTTTAAACTTCAAATAAGTGAATTATATAGGATGTGAATAATATCTCAAGAAAGCTGTTGCTTTTTTTTAAAGTGAATTATCTTTTATGTAAACACCATCACAATAAAAAATAAAGAGCTATTCTATTAACAAAACACAATAATCTCCTTCATGTCTATTCCTTTTTGGTCATATCCACCCATACCACCTCCTCTCTCACCTCTGTAAGCACTAATATATTTTCCATCGCTACAATATAGGTTTGATTCTTTTTTAAAGAATTCCAGATATGTACTATAATTCTCTCCCCTTTCCTAGATTTTCTTAAACTACTAACCATATTTAAAGTCTTTAGGTAACTCCACATCAAATTATTGGTGATTATCTTTTTAATATCTATGGTTTCACTTAGTTTCTAATAACCTGTTGGTACTTTTCATCACACTTGCTAACATTTCATTGGGTGTTGACCATTGTTTATGAAAGTTAGTAGATTTTCAATAATGTTATCTTCCTTCAATGCAGGTTTTGTGGGTTTTGGCAGGCAGCCAAAAGGCCATAGGTCACCTTGATCCTCTTGAGAGTTCATATCAGCCTTTGTTGGGGCTTGCTCTATTTTCAATTTTTCTCTTAGATGTGGTGTTTCTGGGGTCTCAACAGAAAGCCTGGGGTGTTTACCAAGTCCCTCTGATTTGGCGAGCCTTGAAGTCCAATGACTGTCTCCCCAGCAGCAAAGGGCTGCTAGTCTCCACAGAGATCGTTAGAATCTCAGATGCTCCTTTCATTTGTTTTTCTAAGGTCTTATTTGGCACAACTTTGGAGCCAGACAACAGCTTGAGAGGAATTCATAGCAGGTTTGGAATGTGGGAGCTTTCTCACTCTGAGGGTTCCTCCTCTCCGGGATTTTCTCCTCCAATTCCAACCACTGTCACAGGCCCCAACTTCTACTTCTTGTTGCTTCAGCCCAGTCAGACTAGCTTTCTCCGAGGGCTCATTGCCTTCAACAAGCTGAGTTAACTAGAAAGTGCCTCCAGAGGAAAATGTAAGAAAATGTGGAGCTCAGCTCCTGAGCTTTCTTCAAATGGCCATGCCCTTTTGGGTCTGTCCTGTTTTGCTTATACTCCTATGTTTTCAGTCAGTTATTTCAGTGCCTTTTTTTTTTTTTTCTTTTTCTTTATAATTGTTACCAATGAGAGAGTTAATCCAATACTAGGATTCTCTCTCCTGATCCTCAGACTGTCTTAGTGTTCCTATGCCCTTGCAGAATCTTCTCTGTCATTTTTCCTCTTTTCTGGATCTCTTTTACCCCTTTTCATTCTGCTTTCTTTAAGATTCCTATCACTATACGGGCTTATCTGTATTATTATTATTATTTTTTTTTACCTCTTTTCAGATGGCAAAAAAACTAGTGTTCTTATTTACATCAACTTAGGTCAAACACATAGGAAAACTTTCTATAAAATCTTTTATCTACAGCTCTCTTTTACAACAATTAGCAAATGTATAACTCTCAAAGCGAAACCCCTTTAGTTCTTACCTGCAAAAAGATTTCAAGTTCTTCTGGAGTTATGTTAACATAGTTTTTCAATAAAGCTTGTCTGGCATCCCAAAAGGTATTTTTCAAGTCTTCCTGAGTGTCCATCTCCAATGCTTGAAATATCTTTGCCCCCATAAGGTAGTAGCCCACGAAACCCACCAACAGAATGCACCTAGAGGCTTGAGAAGCAACCAGCTCTATTAGAAAACTGAAGACCAATAGAATGAGAGGCACAGAGGTAAGAGTGCATTAATATAAAAGGTCTCTTTCCCCAAAATAAAACAATAACAACAAAAAATACTCTTTCCTATAAAAAACAGCAATTTTATATTTAAAAAATATGTAAAAGTAAGCAATCCCAAAATGCTCATGGCAAAATGAAATTTGAATTTCAATTGCATCCTGACATGAAACTGAAAATTCAAGTGGGAAAAATTTGTTTCTGGAGAATGTTAGTTAACATAAGAGTAGAGAAGGGGACTTTGTCAAATATCATTGTTTAATCACCTGCATACTGGCATGTAGAGGCAGGTAAGTCCAATACAAGCATTCTTGGGGAAATGATTACTGAAGGTTCAAAAATATTATTAGTTAGCATGCCCATTCCAAATGAATTTGGATAAATTATCTACCCTGAGGTTTCTTTTTCTAATTCTCATTTCTCATTCCCCTCCATGCTGCTCAGCATGAAGAAATAAAAACCACCTACTGAGTGGACAGATAACCATGATGCCTGATTCTAATATTAAGATAAGACAGCCAAGTGATTATCATCCTTATCAGAAATTCTTTGAATATATACATGATTTTTACATAGCTGTTCCTTCAGATCAAACCTGCCTCCCCACCAATCTCTTTCATCAGAAACTAAGTCAAATCTCAACAGGTACACTATAACCCTTGACACTATGGGATAACTTTGTTATTGTGTGATTTACAATCTAAAAAATATCCTAATATTTTGGAAGTGTCATAGTCATAACAACCTGAAACACTTTCTCAAATAGGTTCATATTAAAGTCAATATACCAAATTGGGTAAATACTATAAAATACCAAATACACCAATATAAAGCTAGATGAGAAATATATTTCTTCAAAGCACAATAAATATAATCTGTATTCAGATGGTTTAACTTCTGTTAAAATAATGAAAGTGGTACTTAATTTTCTGGCAGAAAATTAGGATTATATTGTCTGCTAGTCTGTGTTTAAAGTGAAGAAAGCAGTTGACTCTTGAATAAAACAGGTTTCAATGTTGTGGGTCAACTTATCTGCAGATTTTTTTCAATAACTATATTGTTTTATATTTGCAGTTGGGAGTTGGTGGATGAGGAGGGCAGACTGCATACATTGAACTACACCATTTTATAGAGGGCATGTGAGCATCCACAGATTTTGGTATCTGTGGTGGTCTTGAAACCAAGCCCCTGTACATACTGGGGGACAACTTAACTGTTTAGGGAGTCAAAAGTTATATGTGAATTTTTTACTGCAGTGGGGAGGAGAAGGGTAGAGGTGATGTAGTGAGGGGGTAGGCATATCTACACCTGCATTGTTCAAGGGTTAATTGTAATATTAGATTTCAAAAAGAAAGTGACTGGTCTGGCTGGTATGGCTCAATGGTTGACCATTGACCTATAAACCAGGAGTTCATGGTTCAATTCCCAGTCAGGGCACATGCCCAGGTTGCTGGCTTGATCCCCAGTGGAGGTGGGGAGAGGCATGTAGGAGGCAGTGGGTCAATTATTCTCTCTCATCATCCTTGATGTTTTGATCCTTCTCTCCCTTTCCCTTCCCCCCGACCCCTCTGAAATCACTAAAAGCATTATTTTTTAAACATTTATTATACTATGATGAGAAAACAACGCCAGGGAAGTCTTTACCTAAGATTAGGCCAGAGCTTATCAAGCTAAACTTTCACTCAAATAAAACTCTAAAAGCAGTCCTACCTGTCAACAATTTCTCTTTATGTCTCATGGTGTGCTTAGGCGATGCGCCCTCAGCATCTGAGTGGTGATATAGAACCCTTCTAAGTGACCTCATATAAAACCACCATTCTTTCTGGAACCTTGGGAAAAGCTAGTTCTCTAGACAATATATCTCTCCTCAAGTACAACAGATTAGTTTCTATGGCTGCTATAACAAACTATTACCACACAAATTTATTATTATAATTCCAGAGGTCATTCATTCAAAATGGGTCTCACTGAGCTAAAGACAAGGTATTGGCAGGGCTGGAGACACTAAAGGAATATGTTTCCTTACATTTTCCAACTCATAGAGACCATCTGTATTCCTTGGCTCATGCCTCTTCCTCCATCTTCAAAGTCAGCAGCATAGCATCTTCAAATCTCCTCTGATGCTGACTCTCCTTGTAGGGACCATCCTGGTAACCCAGAGTAATTTCCCTGTCTCAAGGTCAGCTGATTGGTAACCTTAATTCTTCTCTTGCCAATAAAATAACCTGTGTGTGAAACAAAATAATACAAATAAAAATATTGGCTCAAATTAAGGACTCAATAAACATAACTGTTTTTAGTATCATAAAAATGACTAAGGTATAGGACCAAGGTATAGTAGATGGCCACTAAATTCAAAGAATAACTATTAATAAGTGATGCCTATTATTAATCAGAGTAATTAATACCTTTAATGTGGGTCCTGCATCTGATTCTTCTTGGAATTTCTCACAATGATTTTACAGTGATATATAGTTACATATCATTGCCGATAGAATATATACTAGAGGCCCGTTGCAGGAAGATTCCTGCAAGAATAGGGCTTCCTGCGGCTGCAGAGAAGCAGAGAAAGGGAGCAAAGTCTCAGCGGGCTTCCCTCCCTTCTCACTGCCTCGCTCCCTTCTCCGATGCCTCACTACCCTCCCATCTCCACTGCCTCACTCCCTTCTGCAGTGCTTGGCTTCCTTCTATGCTGTCTTCAGTCTTCACCCTGTGCCTGTGTATGCAAATTAACCTCCATCTCTGTTGGCTGGTGGAGGCAGCAGAGGAACAGTTAATTTGCATGTTTCTCTTTTATTAGTATAGATAGGTATGCGATATATGTCTGCTATATGGAAATTTGTATTCAATTTCATAGCATTCCCCCAACATTTACACAGCAACTGTAACCCTACCTGGTGTCATAATTAGGGTCTTATTGAGGCATTCCACCAGGTAAGGTCAGAGTAATGAGGAATAAACTCAGGGTCAGAGGTGGAGAGAAACAAGGAATTATTAGGAAATCAGCAGATGATGGAATTCATTCTAATGATTTTTTAGTCTCTTAATCTTCTTAGTTTTAGGGGAGTGGGTAACCAATTTAATTGTAGTGTCCTTCATAAGACTAGTCTATTAGGAATCTTGAACAAGACAAATGATGAATGTTGAAGAGGCGGGAGTGAAGACCTTCCCTCAGGAGCCGGGGGAGGTGATTCCTTGCACAGCGGCCCCCACGGTCACATCTGAAGGGCATTGGAGAGCAAATGTTTCTTGGGTACTACAGAGCTTGTTTATGCAGCTTGCTTCCTATTGGACTGTATTTACAAATCCAGAGGTTGCTTAGAGAGACAAGCCTAATATGTATGAAACCATAAGTTCACACTAATGTTTCCAATTCTAATAAAATATCACAGATCTTTCATCTCTTATTCCACCTTTATCTCTAAGAGCCTGTTTCCTAACAATATCAATATCTACATTTATCTATTCTCATTTGCTCAGTTCTAAAATATGTGCAAATAATTTCAACATTGCTATATCAATACCTCTACTATCAAAAATTCTACTAAGTAATTTAACTTTTTACAGTTCTTTTTGGCTTTGAAATATATCCCACTGAGGGTATACATCAATGTACTATGGTTAAACTTGAATGTGGATTAATTATTTTTGTTCTGTGTGGTTATGTTAGCATTTCGATATACTTTGAGGTTCATTTCTGTTTGTATTCAGTTTCAAAGTTTTTTTTTTAGTATTTTCTAACTTATCAATTATTTTTGACCAACAGAAATACCAATAAAGACATATTTCCCAAAGAAAGAGATTATAAGGGAAAAGCTAATGTCCTTATTATTCAAGGTGCACTTCTACACCAAGAAAAGAAAAATAAACAAAAACAGAAATTAACCAAAAAAATTATAGATGGTCAATGAATATATGAATTAACAGGACCTACCTCACTGCACTGTTCTGAGAGGAAAATATGATGTGTGGTTATTATAGTGATTGCCACACCATAAGTCCTAAATAAATACTAGTGATAATGATGATCATGATCATTGTTATTAAGAATAACCTAACAATAAAACAACGATGTGCCATTCTTTTACATTTAAATTTTAATATAATACATAACATTGGGGATAATGTTAAGAAAATAACAATTCTCATGTACTAGTGGTCTGCTGCATGAAATTCGTGCACAGGGCAGGAGGATGTCCCTCAACCCGGTCTGCACCCTCTCCAATCTGGGACCCCTCAAAGGATGTCCTACTGTCAGTTTACAGGGATTGGGCCTAAACTAGCAGTTAGACATCCCTCTCACAATCCAGAGCTGCTGGCTCCTAACCACTCACCTGCCTGCCTGATTCCCCTAACCACTCTGCCTGCTGGCCTGCTTGTCCCCAACTGCCCCCCACTGCCACTTTTCTCACCCCCAAATGCCACCCCCACCAGCCTGATCACCCAAACTACCCCCTTCCAGTGTGCTTGCCCCCAACTGCCTCCCCTGCTGGCCTGCTCACCCCCACCTTCCCTTCCCACTGGCCTGCTTGCCTCCAACTGCCCTCTGCTGGCCTGCTCACTCCAAACTGCCCCCCCCCATGCTGTCCTGACCACCTCCAACTGATCCCCATTGATGGCCTGCTTGCTCCCAAGTGGCCCCTGCTGGTCTGCTTACCACCAACAGCCCTGCCCCCAATAGCTTGATCACCCACAACTACCATTCCATCCTGGCCTGATCACCCACAACTGCCCTCCCCTCTTGGCCTTTGACTACCTCTACCTCAGCCCTGCCACCATGGCTTTGTCCAGAAGAACATCTGGAAGGTCTCCTGGAAAGTCTCCTAGTTTAATTAGCATATTATTCTCTTATTAGTTTAGATAGAGGCCTGGTGCACTGGTGGAGGCTGACTGGTTTGCCCTAAAGAGTGTCCCGGATCAGGGTGGGGGTCTCCACTGGGATGCCTGGCCAGCCTGGGTGAGGGACTGAGGGCCGATTCCAGGCTGGCCACACCCCATGGCAACCCAAGCTCCCAGCCCCTCCTTTTTTCTTTTTTCTTTTTTTCTAACACCTCCTTGAGCTGAGGCCAGGGCAGGCAGGAAGCAGGTATCTGGGATTTATTTATCTTTTATAATTGAAACTTTGTAGCCTAGAGCGGAGGCCAGGGCCTGCCAGGGTGAGTGGGAAACTTGGCTTCCTCCATTACTAGGGGCAACCCAAGCCTCCTGCTTGCTCCAGCTCCATGGCCGCCGCCATCTTAGTTGGGTTAATTTGTACCCATCAGCCAATTCACTTCTGATTGGCTGATGGGTATAGCGAAGTGATGGTTAATTTGCATGTTTCTCTTTTATTAGTGTAGATAAATGATCTTTTTGGAGGGCAAATTAACAAATATATATTAAAAAAAAAAAACTTTAATGTTTTGTAAATTCTTACCCAGCAATTGCATTTGAGGCAATTATTTTAGGCTATACTCGAATTAATATACAAGATGTATTCATAAGAATGCTTCCAGGCCAAGACAAAAAAGATCCAGAAATAAACTAAATGGTTATCTATTTTTTAAAATTGGCTAAATAAGTTATGGTTCAGCCTGTTTTAATTTTCTTTAGGCCCCTTGAAGAGTTCATTTATTTTAAGCCCTTTTACCACCATATTTTTAAAAAGGAAAATAATTCTAATTATTGCATCTAAAAACATTTTAAAGCTATAGCTATTGCCAGTGACATTCCCCCCACCAACCAAACTTTTTCACTCTTGTCTTAATTAAAGACTTTCATGGACCTGGCTGACATGCTCAGTGGTTGAGCATCAACCTATAAACCATGAGATCATGGTTCAATTCCAGGTCAGTGCACATGCTCGAGTTGCAGGCTCAGTCCCCAGTGTGGGAGATATAGGAGGCAGCCAATGAATAATTCTCTCTCAGCATTGATGTTTCTATCTCTCTTCCTCTCCCTTCCTCTCTGAAATCAACTATATATATATATATATATATATATATATATATATATATATATATATGTATATATATGTTTGTTTGTTTGTTTTTTGTTGTTGTTTTGTTGTGTGTTTTTTTGTTTGTTTTTTTAGAACTTACACGGATCCAGATATGTTTTTCAGAATGGGTGTATTTTACTTCTGGGTCATCTACATAAGTCCAGAGGCCTTCCAAGTCTAAATGACTTAGAAGGAAAAGTTTGATCAGGGTTTCATTCATGTAAGATAGAAGTAATACTGACAGTGTATCCAATGCTCACAGCATTTACAGTGTCTCTGCAGATTCTGTCCACTAGAATAGATCACTTTTTATCCCAGATCAAGGCAATTATCAGAAGGAACAGGGGCTATATGTCTGTTTCTGGTATATATTTCACTTTAAGACTCAGGAAGAGAGGAGTAGGCCAAACTAACATTGGCTCAACTATCTTAAGCATGATAGGGAGATAAGTCTAGTAAATCAGAGTATTCTTCTGCCTGGGTCCTGTTGACCTTCACAAAATTATCTTTTAGTCCATGGGAATTTATTATCTTAACTCTAAATATGAGAATGGCTCTTGATTGCAATATTTTTACAACAAGAAGAAAAACATCTGTATAGGAAAGTTTTCACTTACAGACAGAATGCTGTTCACCATCATAAGCCTGACCTCCAAGTTAGATAACCACAATTCGAATGTTAAAAATCCTACACAGCCATTGAGAGAGATGATGATGAGCTATATTTGTTGATGTACAAATATATGTCTGGTAAATTT